AGGTGTCTTTCCATTTCGCTTAGTTTACCTACTTGAGCATTAAAGTCACCTGCTACTATTACTACATCAGAACACCTAGCTTCTCGGAGAAGGTCAGAAATTTTCCTGTAGAACTCATCTTTTATATCGTCTGAGCTGCAGTCAGTGGGAGAGTAGGCAGAGACGACGAAGAGGCAACAACGAGTTTCCCTATCTTTCCGGGTCTTTACTGATCCGTTTAGTCGGACAGCGCATAGACGACTGTCTACTGGGATCCAGTCTAAAAGAGCTAGTTCTGCCCTAGGACTTAATGCTATGCCTACTCCAGCGAGGCCACGGGAAGCAGCATCAGGGCTTCCAGATACACGAAGCGTGTATCGAGATGAAACTTTATTTTGATTAGGTGCGGTCAAATGAATGAAACTACTCGGATCTTGTATGCGCGTTTCGGAGACGCAGCACACATCGATGGTGTAAGATTCTAGAGTCCTAGCTAAGGAAGCCTGTTGTCCTATTTGGCACAATGTTCGGACATTAAAAGTCCCTATATGTAGTTTAGAGCGTGGTTTCAGGAGACCAGGAATAACGTTCTGTGTACTCGAATCGTTTGCCCTAGCGGTGCGAGGTGATAAAAGGACGTGGGAAGGGTTCGTCGTGGAAATAACAAAGTTATTAGGTGTAGGAAGGATTTGAAAGCGACCAACTTGGTCTCGTGTGCAGTTAAGGGTATGAGGGCTAGTATCACTTCCCGGCTGCTCACACCGTGGAAGGGTATTTCTTGAGGGACCTGAAAAAGAAGTTGGATTAGTGTTGGTCTTAACGACCTGAGAGTGTGACCGCAGTGCCCAAGGGACAACTGCTTGAGGCCGGTCACGCACGGCCTTTTGTGGGGGATTTTTGACGTGTTAGCTCCGTTCTTCAAAAGTCCTTACCGCCGGAGACGGATATCCGTGGGATAAGGCGAGGTGTGCATTTTTAGGGTCGACCTTTTCTAACCCCACCCCTCCTTGTGGGAAGACAGCATCGCTGTTATGCTGGTTGTCTGAAGGAAACACCTTACTGCCGTCACACCTCTGTACAGTCAGCAGTACGACTTCGCCTTCGGACCTTGGGATTGCTGCTTTTAATCTGATCGCTCTTCAATCGACCTGTCTGGCATGGTAGGACCTCGAGGAACGATTGTTCCAGCCAGCATAGCTCGATTGGTTCATCACGATAGGCAAGCCCGACCACCACGTCAAGGTAGCAGCAACGGTCGGGAACTAGTCTAGTAAATTTTGATCAAAGGAAAACATAGAAGAAAAACTTGCCCATGTGATAAGGAATATCCAGCAAAACCAACCGAATGTATGCCAAAACCAAAGTACGTGTTAAATACGGGAAAGGAAACCTGTCGCTTATATCTGCGCCTCAAAAATGCAATCGCTGGGATAATTAAATATAGGATGTGTTGCGATGAATATTGCTTATCTATCAGCAGAACTGACGATGTTATGAGAAACGAACTGCTCATTCAGACAGAAACCGATAAAATCTCTTTTCTAAGTACCTCCAAACTCATTTGCCAACTTACATTTATGTACCAAAACACATACACCAGACTAACAGTGAAGAGAGCACATGTTCGACCACGTTCCAAAGAATTTGAGACAGAGACATAACGGCTTTAAATAGTTCGGTATTTAATTGACACCGAGCATAACGTCGATGCTCCACAATCCTTCAAAAATATCGAGACGAAAAATGCAGCGTCTTCCCGGTTCGCTGAAGTAGTAGCAATAGTAGCGGTAAATAAATCCCCAAAATCAATAGTTCTGTATGTGTTCTACATTGGATGCTGACCACATTAGTTTTAATTGGCTCACATAGTTGAAGGAGGACGGTCATGCATCCGCACCAGATCACGAGTGGGAACGCCGTGCTCAATTTCTCCTGCGATCACTAGCCAGTTTAAATCAGTCACTTCTCAATATATTGATAATCTATCAAATATATCTTCTAACCTCCTCACTTCTGACTTTTGATTTCACTGTGTGGGCACGATTCAATTATAGGTGTTGCTGGTAAAGTGTTGTCAAACTAAAATACATGTGGCACCTTCACAATAAAAAAACTAAAACCCGATTTGTGTCCAAAAAGAGACAATAATCAACATGTCGCTACCTTAATAAATCACTTGTTATTCTCACTACTTTATTAGTGTTTATTTTGTTACGTAGTCTTCGCCAGACGAATTCCTATTTTAAGTACATCAAAATCATTCCTTCATCGATGTCTTTCCCTTATTTATTTTTCTAAACTTAGGTAAACTCTTCCAATCCTGTTTAATTGTTATGTAAACCATCTTGTCATTCTCTAATTCTAGACAATTACCAACTCATAACTGTCTTTTATGACTATTTTCAAGTGATTTGAATCTTATGCAAACTCTCCTAAACTTCTATAATTATCACGAAATATAATGAATCTATATTACTCTACCTCAATAGCTGTTTCGGCTTTGTCAAGATTTGCAAAGAGAACCAACTATATAAGGTCTGTCTAATTAGTAGATGGAAGGAAATTTGTTAAGGACTAGAAACAGGATGAAAAGTTAAAATAACTCAAACTACGTCCAAGGATGGGATATAAGAAGCAGTTAACGTAGGAAGCTAAATATTTAAGGCAATGCTAGACATCTGTTTAAACAAATCAGACTGGATTAGAAAACCTGAGTGTTAGTAAAACTATCAATGAAAAATTGCACAGTGAACAACTGTTTGGGCTGGAGTAATGAGCGAAACACTGAGAGGTCCAAATGGCCTCTACATAATCTACAGTTGCCAGCTACTTACCAGAGAGTTTAACGACAGATTAATATCGGGACTCCAACCTTCAGTGGGGTTGTAGAAATTCTGTGGCAAAATAAAGTAGGACCTGGTGGCTTAATACCAGGGGCCTACACCTATAGCGGCCTAGTACTGTAGGCAATACTAAAATATTAGCTAGAGGTTTAGAAGTGGATATCTACTTATCGTTGATTGGTCTAGACATGTGCCTACTGCTGAGTAGTCGACATTCTGTAGTTGGGTCCATTACGTGGCCCATACACTGCTAGGTAGTGCAGAGTCACTTAGTTTTCAGAGCTTCTCTTAAATTTCTGTTCTTATAAGGTATGTGTTATTGTAAGTACAGGTAAGTTGGGATAGGTTCTTAGGTAAATTTTTCATCTTTTGGGCATGGGGTCAACAAATCCCGTGGGAAACAACGTTGCTGAAAAAACGCTAACCAGAACTATGAAGATAATTCCACCTAGTTTTATCAAAGACCTAACTAAAAGTAACATGAGTATTTTTGATTGGAACTGCAAAAAGTGCCGACCCAAGTCCCGCTTCAGCTTTAACGATTAACTCGAAATCAATAACGGAGTCTAAGAACCCAGACTATATACCAGTCCAGCTACCCATCAACTCGAGTAATTTAACATAATTAAAATCACATCTCTGCCCGTCGACTCACTTCGTATTTTATCACCCTAAAAATGCTGGTCGACCGATAACGCTATAAGCACTAGTAGTTAGCTAAAATACTATTCCTATTGACTTATTCTACATTTTGCAGTAAACGAGAACTCGAAAGATGCAATAACTAGCTACTGGATTAAGTGACGTGCTTTTCTTGAAGTCTTAATACGCTAGGTAGGCAATTTCCATCATGAAAGGATATGAGGGCGATTGATACGAGCATATGATTAGAATTACTATCAAAAGTAATAAATCTAAACAAAGCAACATCGAGTAACAGTTGTGGTGTGTTTATCTTGGAACAGGTTTAAGTTCTAATGGGAATCTGGGACCTTATAAGCATATAAAGTAAGACAAGTATCGTGTTTACCGTGAGATCTGAAGTTTGTTGGTTGGATTATAGAGTTTTGAGTGTGTCTGCTGAATTCTACTTTAGTGAAAAAGTTTCGCAATTTTCCTCAGGTTTCAACGATTCTCTAAATGATGTGAGTTCGTGAAAACTGCTGTGAATTATTATTCGGATAATAATTTTACCAAGATACTACCAACAAAACCTTTCAGAGGGAAGGCGAAGTTGCATGTAGGATTGTATGCATACAATAACAATCAAACCTTCGTTTAGCGGGTGAAAATTCCAATACTGATATTTTAAATGAACATAACCTCTAAAACAATTAGTATTCCACTGTGTAACTAGCAATTAAAAATTATTCGAACTGAGTAAGAGTCAACCTAACTTGTTATCAAGGGCTTTAGATATTTAAGGCTACTCTAAAAACAGGAAATAGTTTGACATGTAACTAACTTCCTTAGTAACCATATACACACCGATTTATTAGGCTATGAATCACATCCACAGTATGTGTTCTAATGCGTTACTTGGTTGACGAAATGTCAAGAAGAGAAGTGAGAAGTCAAGTTATCAAACCCAATGACACTGTCTATGGTTGTGATGAAGGCTAAATCGAATATATATCACTCAACAAGAAGGAATAATTTCGTGGAGTGAAAAGTATGAAATTATATTGAAACTCGAGGTATAGGAAAAAACAGAAGAATGAATGCAGTCACGCTACTATGACCGATATTGAGTCATATCACAGGTCTTTCATTGTTAATCACGATTCTCGTATAGAACTTAACAAGACAGATACGGCTCAACTAAATATTTCAATATGACGGTTGAAATTGAACGACTGATGTTACTTTTTGCTTTGACTATCCGCGTATTATTCAAACCCTATCTTGAGCCGGCCAGAATTGTAGTTTGTGGTAGGAGGTGGTTAGCCACTTTAGTCGACGAAAAGTACATGTTTATCAACCAATTTGACATACCTAGCATCGTATGAAAATTTTCCGATGTAAAACTTCTTAAGTACACTGCACATCTCGAGAACTAGTTAATAACAAACTGTTATGAAAACAGAAGCTCAACAACTTTTTTGAAAATATATTAAATAACAAAACTAATGCATACATTTTCAACGAAACTATCAATTTGAAGTATAGAAAAATAGACTAGTTAAATAATTTATCAACAAGGCGTCGATACAAAGAAACACCTTTTTCGTTTTCTTCTTCACGATCATAAAGAATTCTTCTACATTCTATCAGATCAGCTCCGGTTGCAGCTATAACTGAACCTCCTGGTACAGTGCAACTATCACCAAGAACCGAAGGAGGTCGATAAATATCTCGATAATGGTTATTAAGAATACGAGACAAACTTCGATATTCTTCTTCCCAAAATTTAGTATCTATTTCTTGTATTGGTTTAGAAACCAATTCAGTTCCACGACGTTTGATCTCATCTTTTAGAGTCATTTTTCTACCGCAAGCATCAGAAGGCCAACGATCAGCTACCTCTTGAAGTTTTGTAAAATATTCCAATGGTGGTAGTGAGCTTACATAGTGACGATTTAAGGACACACAGGTGACTGATTGGAATCTTTGGTAAGCTGTAAGAGCGGTTCGATAGTTAATCAGAGGCATTCTTTCCCAAGATGCGTTATTATGCAGATGTAAATCAACTAAAGATAAAAAATGATATTGGTCATGTATAAATAGAGTATTTCAAAAGATCAGGGTAATGTTAGGCTATGATTCAAAGGATGTAAAACTATTTCTAAGGAAATCTTTCACTTTTTTGCATCTGTATTTTAGTCACGAAGAAACTGCATTAGATCATGGATCTTTGAAATGGTTTACTGTTGGTCAACTGAATTCAAATAAAGCGCAGAATAGCTTTTAGGGAAAATAGTAACATAATAGCTGATTCTTGAGATGAAAACCACTAATCACAATTGCTATTTACTCAATTATATTTTCAACCAGTAATCAACAACATTGAGCCTGGAACATGCGCATTGGGCGAAGTTATCACACCATAATAGCACGAAATGAAATTAACAAGGTGAATGGGGAAAACAATTGAAATGACGCTCTAACAATGACAATGAGAAAAAAAGAATGTTGAGGATGCGTTCCGAAAAGACAAAATGGAAAGTTATGTATGAAGGGACTCTGTAATTCACGATTTAGAGAAAGAGTAAACAAATCTGCACTATTGTGAACGAACCTAAATCAAGTCACCCGAAATCCTCAACCAATAATCACGCGAGCCCCAACTAGATAGTTTGCATTCATTGGTCAGATAAACAGTGAATGATTTCATGAACAGATACCATGTCTGAGTTTGGCCGTCCATATCTCTATGACAAGCCGACCCTACTACAGCAACCACCGCTTATCGATGTAGGTAGGAGTTGGGCATACGTATGCGGGTCAAAATAATATCAACCAGTCTAAAGATAAATTACTTTAAAGTTTGGTGATGTTCTATGGAGCAATTACTTTGTTGTCAAAAGGAATTTCCATTCGAATAAAGTTCCATTATTTTATGAACTTGGGAATTACCAATACCAAGGAGGAAGGACATAACGGAACATTGGGCAAGATATTATGCAATATGTTGAAAGTCCAAAGATTGAGTGAAACAATTAATCTAATTTTATTACAACGAACTGTAAATCAGTACTACTTTCGTGGGTTTTCGTGATTTAGATATTTTATTTCTTTAAACCAGTCGGCTTATTTTATATTGGGGAGAGAACTCATCAAACCTCTTGACCACTAGCTTATAACACCAGGACGTCAATCAAGACCAACAGTACGACTTATTTTAGAAACACAATTGTTGGACATGATTATATTCTTTTCAGAAGATAAAGTATAGTTGGGAAGTCACATGCGAGTGACGATCGAATTTGTGCAAGTGACCGACATACTAAGATTTTTCGGTGAGACTATGACTTAGGGACAACCTTTGAGTAACGCTAAACTGATCTTGAGGGTGTCCACCTGGTAACTAGGACCAAATGAGGGTTATAAACCAGTATGAGGAATTAGAGTTGTTATTTACAGTTATTGGTTTAGGTCAGCTACAACGTAGGACCAGGCACATTTATGCATCGGTCCAAGTTGCCATACCTCGTTAGCACAACAAGATGAACACCGGATTCATAGAAGTAATTAATGTAGTGGTGGTAGTAGTATATAAATTATAGGTTGTATATAAAGATATAGTACAGGAAGGAAGAGAGATATGAAGCAATTTTAGTCTCAGGGTTTAAAGGAAGATAAAGAGTGCATACACCTATGCCATTGTGATCGATTCTGAGCCATGTCACCTAGAGTCTCCAACCATTGGTTACGATAGTCAAGCGGACCCCAACCAGGTAGTCTGCATCTGCCAACATGGCTCAGACTGGAAGTTAGTGACTTCAAACACTGATGCCATGTTTTGGTTTGGCCGTCCCTAACTCTCTTCCAACAATCCCCTACACTAGTCATTATGGCGCGTCGTGGTAATCGGTGTTAAGGTATACGTAACACATGGTCCAACCATCTCAGTCGATGAAGATTCATCACCTCATCAACTGATTTACCATCGTTCCCTAATACCCTGCGTCTAACCTCACTATTACTTACCCGGTGATCCCAGCAAATGCGAGCAATATTTCTGAGGCATCTGTGGTCAAATACTAGTAACCTACGAGTATCTTCTACTCTTAATGGCCATGTTTCACAGCCGTAAAGTAGAACAGAGCGAACTGATGCACAGTATACTCGTCCTTTAATTGATAGACGGATATCTCGTCTTCGCCATAGGTGACGTAAGTTGGCAAAAGCCAAACGAGCTTTTCGAATCCGTGCTGAGATTTCGTCAGACACCAACACATTAGGGCTGATCAGACTTCCAAGATAAGTGAAGTTGTCGACGCGTTCGACTACTTCACTCCCTATCCTTAGTTCGGGTGTTGACGCAGGCCAGTCCTGGAGTAACAATTTACATTTGGATGGGGAGAATCGCATCCCAAACATCCTGGCATTATTACTGAGTTCTAACAGAAGACTCTGCATTTTGCCAGTGTCTTCACCAAACAGGAATATGTCATCTGCGTATTCTAAGTCGATTAGTGGTCCCCCTGGTAGGAGATCAATTCCTGTAAATTCAGTCGAAGAGAGTATTATTTCCAGCAACAGGTCTATAATGAAGTTAAACAAAAATGTGGATAGTGGACAGCCTTGACGGGCACCACTTGAGGTTGTAGAATCATATGACAGTTCGCCATAAGCTCTCACTCGACTGGTAGTGTTCGAGTAAAGAGCCTTCACAAGGTTTATGTACTTCTCAGGTACACCTTTCAATGACAGACACTGCCACAGAACCTCTCGGTCTACAGAGTCAAATGCTGCTTTCAAGTCAAGAAAAACTATCATTGTCAGACGCCGATAAGCATGTCTGTGCTCTAAAACTTGACGAATGGTGAATATGTGGTCGATACAGCCACGACCAGGTCTGAAGCCAGCCTGATTTTCTCGTGTTTGCAGTTCACGAGTCTTAGTTAGGCGCCCGATAATGATTGAGGCTAGTATTTTAGATGCTATGTTGGTCAGACTAATCCTCTATGGTTATCGCAGGATGATTTTGATTCCTTTTTATATATTGGGACAATCAGTGATTGTGACCAGTCGGATGGGATTACATATGTCTCCCAGATTTTAGCCAGAATATTAGTCAACCTAATCGCTAAAATCGGACCACCATATTTAAAGACCTCTGGAGCCAATCCATCAGGACCAGCTGCTCTTCATCGTTTCAGATTACCTATAGCCTTTTGAACTTCAAGTAGGGTCGGGGGGGCCTACTTCAATGTTCCATTCAGACTGTCTGGTAATATTGGGTAGTTGTGCAGTAGCTGAAGGCCAGCTAAACTGCTCCTTAAAGTGCTCCGCCCATCGTTCTAAACGTTTGGGTTGAGAGCAGATAAGGGTTCCGTCTTTTTTCGGAGATTGTCTCACTCTTCGTCATGTTCAGAGCCTGATGGGATGAGTTTACGCGAATCCATCAGTGAAATAGACTTAGAAGAAATCCATTGGTTTTTTGGAGCCCTATGGTTTAAATGACTAATAGATGTAACTGCTGTTTCCACAGCTGTTCGTAGGTCTTTCCAAGCGGCATCTGTGTCAGTCTCGTTTACAGAACTGCCTAGATGTGAACTCAGTTGTTTCTGGAGTTCGCATTTGGCTTTCTCGTCCTTCAGTTCAATCCTAATGGGTCTTCTTAGTGTACTTTTCCTGCGTCCATTGAGGCGCAGACAAATGCGTGCTCGTATTAAAGCGTGATCAGAGTCTAAACAAGTATTCCAATACGAGCGACAATCTTCTATTGAGCCTCTCCAACGATAACTGATGACAATATGGTCTATTTGAGTCCATCGTTGGTTTGGTGCAGGTGGTCGCCATGTTAGACGATGTCTCTCCTTATGTTTAAAATTAGTGCTTGCTAGAAATGAACGATTGTCTGAGCATAGTTGCAACAGACGATCACCATTATCGGTTCGTTCAGCCGGAATACTAAAACACCCACCTAAATGTCTTTCTGTTTGATTCAAGCTGCCTACCTGGGCATTAAAGTCACCCGCTACAACTACTATGTCTGAGCGCTTAGCTTTCTGAAGGAGCTCAGAGAGTTTTCTGTAAAAGTCATCTTTCACTTCATCATGGCTGCAGTCAGTGGGAGCGTAGGCAGAAACGACGAAAAGGCAACGACGTGTGTCCCTATCCTTCCGAGTTCTTACGGAGCCATTCAGCCGGACAGCACACAGACGACTGTTAACGGGGATCCATTCTAGTAGTGCCTGTTCTGCCCTTGTACTTAGTGCTATGCCTACACCTGCAAGTCCACGAGAACTAGCCAACGGGTCGCCAGATACACGGAGGGTGTATTTCGTTGGCTGTCCATTTTGGTGAGGTGAGGTCATGTGAATGACCACACTGGGATCCTGTATGCGTGTTTCGGAGACACAGCATACATCAATGGTACGAGATTCTAGGGTTTTAGCTAAGGAGGCCTGTTGACCGATTTGGCATAGGGAACGTACGTTGAAGGCTCCAATGTGTAGTTTGGAGCGAGGTTTTAGTAGACCTGGGACAGCGTTTCGCGCACTAGAATCGTTGGCCATGGTGACACTTGAGGAGGAAACCGGAACAGGAAGTTTAGTGTTGAAAGTCAAGGTAGAAGGAATAGTAGGAATTGAAGGAGATTGATTATGAATACGGTGGTCTTGAGTGCTGTTAGAGGTATGAGGGCAGTTATCACTTCCCGGTTGCCCACACAGTGGAAGGGTTCTTCTGGGGGTACCTGAAAAGGAAATTGGGTTAGAAGTGGTCTTAATGACCTGAGAGCGTGACCGCAATGCCCAAGGGACAACTGCTTGAGGTCGGTCACACACGACCTTTTCGTGGGGGACTTTTGACGTGTTAGCTCCGTTCTTCAAAAGTCCTTACCGCCGGAGACGGATATCCGTGGGATAAGGCGAGGTGTGCATTTTTAGGGTCGACCTTTTCTAACCCCACCCCTCCTTGTGGGAAGACAGCATCGCTGTTATGCTGGTTGTCTGAAGGAAACACCTTACTGCCGTCACACC